TTGATGTCCCCTGCGACTATGGTCCCAAGCCCGCAGGATCAACTACTCGGTCCCTCTGGGTAGCTGGCTGTGACCAAGTAATGACCATAACCTTCAAAGGCATCAATTCTTTGGTCTTCCTTATTCATTGTTCAGCTTTCACATGCATATGAGTTGACTGGAAAATACCATGGCTTGACTTAGTGCATCTTAGTCTTCAAAGTGACATATTTGATGTTTAAGACTTTAAAGTAGTCCCTTTTAACCAATTTTCCCAATGCAATATTACGTGTGATTTCCTGACAGCTGTTTCCATGAGTGTTGACTACAGACTCAAGTAAAATGAAATCTTTGACAACTTCAATCTTTTCTCCATTTATCATGATGCTGCTTACTGGTCCAGTTGCAAGGATTTTGTTTTGCGTTGAGGTATAATCCATACCGAAGGCTGTCAACTCTGATCTTCATCAGTAAGTGCTTCAATGCTGCTTCACTTTTCACAAGCAAGGTTGTGTCATCTCCGTATCATAGGTTGTTAATGGGTCTTCCTCCAATCCTGATGCTACATTCTTCTTCATATAGTCCAGCTTCTCAGATCACTTGCTCAGCATATCGATTCAGTAAGTACGGTAAAACAATACAACCATGACACACACCCTTCCCAGTTTTAAACCATGCAGTATCCTCATGAATACCACCAAGTGTCCTAGAATTCCCATTCTTTGCAATATTATCCATAATTTATTATGATTGACAGTGTCAAATGCCTTTGCATAGTCAATAAAACACAGGTAAGTATCTTTCTGGTATCCTTTGCTTTCAGTCAAGATCTATCTAACATCAGTAATGATATACCTTGTTCCATGTCCTCTTCTGAATCCAGCTTGAATTTCTGGAAGTTCCCTGACAACATACTGCTGCAACCATTTTTGCATCACCTTCAGCAAAATTTTACTTGCATGTGATATTAATGATACTGCTTGGTAATTTCTACACCATCTTTCTCTGGAATGGGCACAAATATGGATCTCTTCCAGTCAGTTGTCCATGTAGCTGTCTTCCAAATTTCTTGGCATAAATGAGTAAGTACCTCCAGTGCTGCATCTATTTGTTGAAACATCTCAGTGGGTATTCCATCAACTCCTGGAACCCTGTTTTTCACCAACTCCTTCAGTGCAGTTTGGACTTTCTCCTTCAATACCATTGGTCCTTGATCATATGCTACCTCCTAAAATGGTTGACTGTTGACCAGTTATTTTAGGTACAGTGACTGTGTGTATTCCTTCCATCTTCTTTTGATGCATCATTCAATATTTTGTCCATAGAACCCTTCAATATTGCAATTCAAGGCTTGAATTTTTACTTCAGTTCTTTCAGCTTGAGAAATGCCAAGCATGTTTGTCCCTTTTGGTTTTCTAATTCCAATTCTTTCCACATTTCATTATAATATTTTATTCTGTCTTTTCAAGCCATTCTTTGAAGTCTTCTGTTTAGCTCCTTTATGTCATCATTTCTTCTATTCACTTTAGCTACTCTACATTCAAGATCAAGTATCAGAGTCTCTTCTGACACACATTTTGGTATTTTCTTCCTTTCCTGTCTTTTTAATGACCTTTTGTATTCTTCATATATGATGTTCTTGATGTCATCCCACAACTCTTCTGGTCTTCAGTCACTGCTGTTCAAGGCATCAAATCTATTTTTATAATAGATCTATTGTAAATAATAATCAGCTTGTAAAGTAAACAGAAACACCTGTGAGTAATGTGCTCTCTTAAACAAGGAAGTAAGTGCAACCAATCAACATTGACCCAAAAGCAAATGTGAGAAAGCAAGGAGGGAAAAGGAAGCTAGATCACAGGAAACAGAACAAACAGAATAGAAACAAGGAGAATGTTGACAGAATGTAAAAACTGTAGCCAATGGCATTGAACAATTTTTATAAAAATTGTTAAAGAAGAATCTAATTTGCTGTGTAATATAATAATAAGCATCATCATCTCACAATGTGGTACATCCATGCAACAGAATATTACTCAGCCCTAAAAAAGGAGTGAAAGGAGCCCTAGTGGTGCAATGGTTAAGCACTCAGCTGCTAACTGAAAAAGTGGTGGTTTGAACCCACCCAGTGTCTCCATGGGAGAAAAGACCCAGAGACCTGCTTCTGAAAAACTTGTTATTGTAAGGTGCCAGAGTGAAATACTGCCCAGCCCTGCGCCATCCTTACAATCATTGTTATGTCTGAGCCCATTCTTGTAGCCACTGTGTCAATCCATCTTATTGATGGTCTTTCTCTTCTTCCCTGATGTCCTCCAGGGACCAATCCCTTCTAATAACATGTCCAAAGTATGTGATAAGAAATCTCATCATCTTTGCTTCTAAGGAGCATTCTGGCTGTACTTTTTCCAAGACAGATTTGTTCATTTTTTCTGGCACTCCACAGTATATTCAGTATTCTCCACCAATACCATAGTTGAAATGTCGATTTCTTCTCTGGTCTTCCTTTTTCATTGTCCAGCTTTTACACACATAAAGATTTTTAACAGCCTTGGAAACTTCATACAACAGTTCCTTTGCCCATGGATTGCTGTGGTAGTTATGTTTGTGTGTCAACTTGTCTGGGCCTGGTTGAGTGGCTGGGCAGCTGGTGGTAGTTATTCTCCATGATGAGACCGGCAATAAACTCCATGGTGGGATCTACCAGAAGCAGCTGAGTAGCTGCCTTTGGGATGTGGTCTCCTTCCTGTATTTAAGGAGAAGCTTTGAGAATGGTCTCTAGCCTATGGCACGCTTGGACCCTGCATGTAGCTGTGCCGTTTGCTCAGCAGCCTGCTATGCTCTGCCGACCTTGGGACTTCCAATGGACTTAAGTTAACGGCCTGCCATGTGGTTTGGTGATATCAGGACTGTGCCTTTTTACTTGTCAAACTTGAGGTTTCTCAGCCTCAGCAGCCAGCAGCTGTCTGAGTGAAGACATGCCTCTAGCTCCAGGGAGCTGCGAGCAGGAGGCAGAGCTGGACCCCAAGGTTGAGGGGCTTTCACCCAGAGCCTTTCACCCTAGAGCCTGGCACTTTGAACTTGGACTTAAAGCCTCCAAATTGGGAGAGAATAAACTCCTGTTTGTGAAGGCCTTCCCATTTGTGGTATATTCTTGTCAGAGTGGCACTAGGTAACCAGAACAATTGCTATAAGGTAGAATTGACTCCATGACACCCAACAACAAAAGGCATAAAGCATTGATACATGCTACAAAACTCGATACATGCTATAAACTTCAAAAAAGGTTATGCTGAATGAGAGAAGCCAGATAGAAGAGGACAAATATAGTATGATCCCATTTATACAAAATGTCTAGAACAGGGAAATCCACTGAGACAGAAAGGAGATTCTGATGTGCCAAGGGTTTTGGGGTAGGGAATGAGTGCTGACAGATACAGGGTCTCCATTTGGAGTGATGAGACTGTTCTGGGACTAGATAAAGGTCATGGTTGGACAACCCTATAAATATACTAAATACCACTGAACTGCATTCTTAAAAGGGGGAATTTTATGGTACGTGAATCATATTCCATAGTAAACTAACAAATAAATAAAAACTTAAAAATATTATGGTTCTATAGAATTATAACCAGGAAGAGTGCCTTTCTTTAATAAGTGGAGAAAACAGCAGGATGAGATGATCACACTTTTGTGCAACAAAACAATATAAAGAGAGGGAAGGAAATGCAGCAAAATGTTTGTTTTGGGGTGATGTAAATGTTTTTCATTTTTCATTTCTTCCACTCTAAATTCTAAAATTTAGTGTTCTTCATTTTAAATTTCCAAACCAGCAAGACCAGGCACCTGCCACTAGACATCTCTTCCAACCCCCAATCTGGTGCTATGATCTGGTGGCTTAGCTGACACCACTAGGAGCCCCTCCTGGCTTTGTCTCTCTTGGTGCAAGTCCTCCTACAATCCAAGGCGAGAGCCCACAGGCCCACCACAACTGATCACTTGAACTAGCTTTTCTGAGTCTATGGATGCTAGGGTATGCTGGCTTGGGCACTGACAGGGAAGGGAAAAATGGGACCAAGCTCTGTGGCGCATTCACACCCTGCACATCAGACACCAGAGGAAGGGGTGGCCTTGCTGCTGATTCATCTCTTCCTGGAATCCTTACATCTCCTCAACCTGACCACACTGCCACTCCCACTCTCCAGCATGCAGTATCTCTCAGAACATGCAGTGAAGACTGTGTGAGTTGTCTCCTGCTTCACTTCACCCAATGCATGGGGTCAGAGGCTCACTCCCCATCCTGCCCTCCCCACCAGCTCAGCCTGGGTTTCAGAACACAAAGCACCACCTCTGCCTCTATGGGGTTGCTATGCCTCACTTTATCTCCCAGCAACTCTGGGGTGGGAGTTCACACTTCCTTTACTAGCAAGCTCTGAACCCCATAAGGACAGGGCAGGGTCTGCATTTTTTCTGGGCTATGTTCCCAGCCCCCAGCATGCAGCAAGACCACAGTGAATAACCACCAAGGGAGAGAAAAGTGAGACACTGAGCTCCTACCCCTGTGCTCCTCTGCTGCAGGAGTGCCTGTGCAACTCTTTGGTTAGCAGGCCATGGGTGGTATACGTGCTCACTGACTGTTCTTGAAAACAAAAATCTCTCCTCCAAGAGACTGTCCATACTCTGCCCTGAGTCTCAAAGGGTACTTACTCTCCAGGCTGTGAGCTGACCACCTGGTTCTGCTTGGCTTTCTGTTCCATCTTGGCTTCAATTTCCCTTTTCTTCTGAGCAATGAGCTCTTCCTGGTGAAGGATGTTCATGTTCATTTTTCCAGACTTGGGGGGGGCCACCCCAAACCACCGGTTAGCCTTTCCTGGAAAGGGAAAAGGAGCATGTCAGAAGTCATTTTTGCTTCACATTTGCCCTGGTGCCTGCTATAGGCTGGCAGCAACTGCCTTCTGGCTGATTCACGTATCTGTTTGCACATTCATTCAGCAAATTCCTACTGAGTGCCCAACTGCCATTGAGTCGACCCTGACTCATGGCAACCACATGTCAAAGTAGAACTATGCTCCAAAGGGGTTTCAATGGCTGATTTTTCAGTAGATTGTTAGGTCTTGCTTCTAAGGTACCTTTGGGTAGACTTGAACTGCCAACTTTTCAGTTAGCACCTGAGTGTTAACCATTTGTACCACCCAAGAACTCCGACTGAGCACCCACTAGGCAATGAAACACTGGCCAGTCCTCCTCTATCCCCATGATCAGGTGGACTGGACTACTGTGACTCATAGGGTTTTTACTGGCTAATTTCCAGAAGTCAGGCCTTTTTTTCCTAATCTGTCTTGGTCTGGAAGCTCTGCTGAAACTTGTTCCGCATGATAGCAACACACAATCCTCTAGTGATTAAAGACAGGGTGGTACCTGCCCGTGAGGTGCAATGGCTGAGAATTGAACTTGGGTCTCCTACATGGGAGGCAAAAATTCTACCACTAAACAAGATCCAGTCGGAATTCTAATTTTTAAGATTGTTCTGGATGCTGATTGGAGAGAGTGTATAAACAGCAAGGAAACCAAGGAGGACATTATTTGTAGACCTCTGAGTGAGACAACAGTATCAGACTAGGATGATAACCTTAAAGATGGGGAAAGTTATCTCTAAGGTTTCCCCAGTGACCCAGAGAAAAACTGAAACTCTGAATGTTGGTTCTAAAGACCCTGCCTGAGGTGATTCACCTCCACTTCCAACTCAAAAGTTTTTCAAACGAACTACTTGGTCCCACCCCAGGGCCTTTGCACCTGCCATCCCACCTGCCCTCTGGCTTGGCCTCAGATCTTCCCATAGCTGGCACCTTCTGATCTCAAGTGCCTTATACTCATAAAGGCCTTCCCTGCTACCCAGTATCAAACTCCACCTTCTCTCTCTCACATCATCACAATTCTCCCATTGTAAATATTTGCCCATTTGTACATTGTCTACTCCAATTTAAAAAAAAAAACAACCCTGCACGAAGGCTGGGCCCTGGTTCGGTGACTGTAGCTGTACCCCTACCGCTCAACACACTACTGAGCATACAGCAAGCACACCCCAACTATTTGCTGAGTGGGAGAATGCATCCCAATCTAGAGATTTAGGATTGGGGGTGAGGGACAAGCAAGGCTTGTGGCTCAGAAGGCCTCAAGGACCCAGGAAAGCGTGTAAGGGGAGTCCCAGGACAGTCCGGAGAAGCTTTTCCAGAAACCGGGACGCAGGCCAGACCGCAGCGGCTACAAAAGGGGGACGCAGGGCAGCCCAAGGTTGCCACTGCTTTGGGGAGCGGAGCTCGGAATAGCCGAGAAGGCCACTATTCTGAAAAGTGAGCGCAGGGCAGACAGGGGTGACGGCCTTCAAAGAAATCAGGGCGTCCTCGGCAAGCCAGGCGGGGGCAGCCAGCGACCTGGGTCTGGGGTCTTGGGGAACGTGAGAGGCGCAGTCGCAGGCACTGTGAGCGCTCAGGGGCTGGATTAAAGGGGCACCAGGTCTGGGCAAGCCCTATTGGAGGGCGAGGCGACAGTGCTTAGCCCCGAGGACCGACGCGGACGCCTGAGGAGAGACGGGTGCTGTTACCTGCAACATCCCGGTTGTCCATCTTGAGACTCATCCAATCCCACAATGCTCCGGCGCGTCGGGGGTGGGGCTATTATAGTGCGCGTGGCATGATAGGAGATGTAGTCCGCATCCACTAGCCCCGCCTCGCCACTGCGTGGACGCCTGGGGTCTTCCCTCAAGGACCGTAAGCCTCCGTCTACGTGCGATGTCTGGTCTCAGTCCTGCAGACCAGAAGGCGTCGCTTTTTCTCACGCCACGTTCATCCGAAACACAAACTACATAATCTAAGATGCTCTGCGCCTCAGCTCTCGCGAGAGCTGAGAGCACGCCCGGCCCCGCCCCTAGGGCCTGCTTCCGCCTCCCTGTGGCGGCCGCTTGTTGTTGTGGAGGCCAAAATGGCGGCTCAGGCAGCGGCGGCGGCCCAGGCTGCGGCGGCCCAGGCAGCCCAGGCTGAGGCGGCCGAGTCGTGGTACTTGGCACTCCTGGGTTTCGCTGAGCACTTCCGCACCTCCAGCCCGCCGAAGATCCGCCTGTGTGTGCACTGCCTACAGGCCGTTTTCCCCTTCAAGCCGCCGCAGCGCATCGAGGCCCGCACGCACCTGCAGCTCGGCTCGGTGCTCTATCACCACACCAAGAACAGCGAGCAGGCGCGTAGCCATCTGGAGAAAGCGGTGAGCGGGCGCTGGGCGGCGAGGGCGGGGCGCGGGGGCCTGACTGATGTGCCGCGCCCCGGGCAGGCGGAAGGCTGCGGGCCGCTCCTCAGGGGACCCGGGAGCACTACCACTGCACGAGCCGCAGGACCCCTACCCGCCTTTGCCAGACCCCGAGGCCAACAGCCTCCCAGGAGGCCCGAGAGCCTTGGAGCCCCTCGCTTATTTTCGTTCTCTAGTGATGGCTTTATTTCCAGGATTTTTTTTCAGAGGTTCTAAGTCTACGTTTTCAGATTACTCAGAGGGTTGCCTCCTGTTAGCAGTGACAGGGACCCCAAATCATGAGGTTTCCGAGAGGACCCACCCTCACCCACTCCTTGGGGGTGATACGGCCACCTGCAGACCCTCCAGTGAGTCAGTGGGTCTTGTAGCTTCCCACATTGTGGGGCTAGCCCGAACATCAGCCTGGACGCTGCGTGCCCCCCACCCGAGGACTTGGAGTTGGGGAAGGTCACACTGGAGGCCTAGGTGACAAGCCACTTATCCATCCCTTGAGAATCAGGTCTAGACCCAGGAGGGCGTTCCTTCCTGGACCTGAAAGTCTGACTCCTCAGGGTGTCTGGAGGGTCTTGGGCCCTTGTTAGTACTGACTGTCAGACATGGGGAAGAGGAGGTCTGGAGTTGGTCGTTTGTGGTTCTGAAATAGGAAGGAAAAAAACAAAGTTGCCTTTGAGTCAGTCCCAACTCATGGTGACCCCATGTATTACATAGTAGTAGCACTGTTTCATGAGTTTTCTTGGCTGTAATCTTCTGTGACACCCCTGTGTGGATTTGAACCACCAACTTTTTTTTTTTTTTAATTGTGATTTTGGTGAAAGTTTACAGAGCCAATTCATTTTCCGCATATCATTTCATACATATTTTGTTTCATGACATTGTCTGCAATTCCTCACAATTTAACAGCTCTCTTTCCACTTCCTCCTGGTTACCTCTTCCCTGTGTCCTTCCCTCCCATGTATTCCTTCTTACCACCCCCCTAGCTATTTCCCTGTACCAGTACTGCCCTTCTGTTCTCCCATGATTGATCGCTCCAAGGATTGTATCTACCAGATGTAAATGTTCACCCCATATGTCTGTCTATTGTTTGGCTGGAAGCCACAGGAGTAAGTTCAGTTCCAGATCTGAAGGGCCATAGTCTTGGGGGTCTCACCAGGCTTTGTCAGACCAGTAAAACTGATCTTTTTTTTATGATTGAGTTTTGTTCTGCATTGTTCTCCCACTCTACGTAGGATCTCCTGTTGAACCACCAACTTTTAAGGCAGTAGTTGAGCACAGACTGTTTGTGCTGCCCAGGGACCTTTGCAGTCCTATGAGAAATGGGGATTAGGAGGTGGGGATCTGGAACCGTGTCACTCAGTGTTGAGCCCCCACAGAGGGGGTGTCTTGCAACGCCTGCTTTTTCTCTTCCTCCCTCCATTCCCAGTCCATCCTCTTCCTTGAACAGCACTAGTCCTGATTTTGATTTGTGAGATCTCTATGCTTTAAACATATAGGAATACAGCTCACTCTGGACAGCCCTTCCATGAGCTTCCCGGCTGTGGAGCTGTACTCACAGTAATGCTGCACTCCTCTCAGACGTTGCCTTGACTCTGCTACTTACCTGCCTTTGGTCTGCTTAGAAGAGGGGTGACTTCATGACTGGAACTCACTGAGGTCTTAAACCTTACCGATCTGGGGTGCATTTTGACCCACATTGGCAAGTGTGTTGCCTTCAGGAGAATATGGTTGGAAGGGGACTTTAGTCACCACCTGACTCAACTTCCTTGTTTCAGGAATGAGATTTTTGGGCTCAGAGAAGTAAAGTGATTCACCCAAAGCCACACTGCAAATTATTAACCAAACAGTGCCTAGACCAAGACTCAGGATCTCCAGGTTTCATGCTGAATATGTCAGTGTGATTTCTGTTAGTTGTCATCAAGTTGACTCTGACTCATGGCAATCCCATGTGTTTCAGAGTAGATCCATGCCCCATAGGATTTTCAAGGCTATGGTCTTCCAGAACCAATTGCCAGGCCTCTTTTCCTTCTTTCTTTCTTTATTTATATTGTGATTTGGATGAAAATTTACAGAGCAAGTTCACTTTCCATACAGCAGTTCACCTACACTTTGTGTCATGTCATTGACCACAATTTACCACAATGTAACAGCTCCCTTCCCACTTCCTCCCGATAGTTACCTCTTCCCTATGTCCATCCCTCCAGATTGCCAGGCCTCTCTTCTGAAGTGCCTCTGGATTAGTTTGAACCTTTACCTAGGAGACAAGTGCTTAACTGTTAGTACCACCCAATGACACCTGAGATAGTGATATAAGAACCACAAAAATACCAGGCCAGCGTAAGGGAGTGGAGTTGACATGGGAGCTATTTTTGGCAGGGCTGGTGAGGGATCCACTATTTGTGGGAATGACACTTGAGCAAAGGTCTGAAAGGGTGAGGGGCACTCCCAGAGAGCTACTCAGGATGTCTGCCACCCAGTGGGTGATGGCACCCATCGTGATGTCTCCCAGTGCTATGCTAAGATTGCCTTCAGGAATGAGGGCTGAAGCCTATGACTGCCCATCCTGTAGCCAGCTGCTTCCATGGATGTGATGGTTCTAAATGATCTGCCTTCCCAGGTTAAAACAAATCCTACTGCTCTTATCTTGTGTCTCCTTGTACTGGTCAGCCCATTTCTGACCCTGGTTGCAATTGTCTGTTTCACACCCCAGCTCTGTCTGAGAAAACCAATTGTGCCTCAGTCGTTCCTTTGTGCCACTTGACCTTTGGACCCGTAATTTAAGCCCTCTCCCAACAAGGTGGCTTCTTCAGTTCTGCTGGACTCTGAGTCTCCTGCATCCTCACAAACCACGCTCCTCTTCACACCTCACCCTGACTCCACACCAGCTTTATACCCAGTTGTCCTATTCTTCTCTGGTGCATACCTGGCTGGAAATTTGTCCAGTTTCTAGCTAAGATGACATTGTCCTCCAGAAGTTTTCCTCCTCCAACTGATTCGTGATCTTGTTTGTATTACAACACAGGTGTGCTTCCTTCAGGTTTGATTAGTGGTTTGTTTCCCCAAAATTAGGCAATTGTCGCTCTTTTCCTTTCCATTCTCAGAGCCACTTGACAGAGTCATAATATATCCTCCCTTCAGAAGAGGTTTGCTGTTTTCTAGTTTCAAAGAACAAATAGCCAAAGAGATTCCAATGTTTTTTTTGAGAGCTGACAGAATAATAAAGCTTTCTTTTCTTTTTTTAAGGTAAATGACTTTTGAAGATTTTGAGACTGTTTTCTCCTTGACCATTCCCCTGCTCTTCTTCACTGAACTAATTTTCTCTAATTTGTTACTTCTTGTTGTCGTTGAGTTGGCTCCAACTCATGACAATCCAACACACAACAGAACAAAACTCTGCCCGGTCCTGTGCCATCTTCCTGAGCCTTAGTATGCTTGCATTTATTGTAGACACTGTGTATTTGTGTGCCTTCCAACCTAAGGGGGCTCATCTTCATCGGACAGTGTTCTGTTGTGATCCGTAGGGTTTTTTCACTGGTTAATTTTCAGGAGTAGATCTCCAGGCTTCTCTTCCTAGTCTTTCTTAGTTTGGAAGGTCCTCTGAAACCACCATGGGTGACCCTGCCGGTATTTGAGATACTAGTGGCATAGTTTCTAGCATCAGCCACACACAAGCCACCACAGGACAACAGACTGACAAAAAGATGGGGTAACTTATTAGTACTATAGATAAAACATTTGACTGTCTCTGGGCTAGAGTACTATATTCTAGGTTATTTTCATAATTTTTTGCTTTCTTTCTGAGCCTGACCTTGTTAATCATAGTTTTATGACAGGCTACCTTTTTTTTACTTCCATCTGCTTTAGTCAGTGTCTCTTAAGAGCTTCCTCAACTGCATTTGCCTGTCACAAGCTACAGAGAAGGAACATATACCATCCTACCTATCTGTTTCATTAAGCCTCCCAACTTTGCAAGAAGGGAAGAAAGAAATGTCTGCTGAGCATCCCTTCAGGCAGGGATATATTTCTCCTCATCTAAATCATGGCCATGGTTACCCCAAGACCCCTCCCTACCACCATCACCAGCCCATTCTTGGGTTGGCTCAACATTCCTGCACTACTGCAGCGAAAGCCTTCCAGCTCTACTGTTGTTGGGCTAACTACTTGAGTGTGTTGTCAGAACCCAGCTGTCCTGGGGCTCACTGAGCCTGTTTGTGAATTTGTAATGATGAATTTGTGATGATGAATTTGTGATGGTGATGTGCTGCTTCTTCCATAAACCTCCTGGCTGAAGGATCTTTAAGCTGCTCTGCCCATCTGTCTGACATGCCCATTTTATCCATTCTTC